ATATATATATATATATATATATATATATATATATATATATATATATTTCAAATTTTATGAATATTGTGTATATATTTTGAATTTTAAAAATTATTGTGTATATATTTTACATTTTAAGAATTGTTGTGGGTATATGTTGAATTTTAAAAATTATTGTATATATATTTCAAATTTTAGATATTATTGTGTATATATTTCAAATTTTATGAATTATTGTGTATATATTTTGAATTTTTTAGAATTATTTTATATATATATTTCAAATTTTATGAATTATTATGTATATATTATGAATTTTGTAAATATTATTGTGTATATATTTCAAATTTTAGGAATTGGCGTGTGTGCGCGTGCGTGTGTGTGTGTTTTGAATTTTAAGAATTATTGTGTATATATTTTGAATTTTAGGTATTATTGTGTATATATTTTAAATTTTAGGAATTATTATTTATATATTTTGAATTTTAAGAATTATTGTTTATTTTTGGAATTGTTTTTAATATATTTAAAATTTGTAATATTTTTTAAGAGTGGGAGTATGTAGGATTCTAATATTTTTTTAAAAATGTGTAGTATTTTTTGGAATTATTGTTAATATATTTAAATTTTGTAATATTTGAGAATCTAAATTTCTAATTTTATTCACTAAAATTACCTACCTTGTTGGAAAATATTCATTTCGTATATTAATTTACAAATAAAACTTGTAGGCGATTAGTTTAATTCGGGTTTTGTTTGTCAACGTGGATTATCTTTAGTGAGGTAAGATCTTTCTCTATTTTTTTGTTACGAACTTTCGACTTTCCCTTGTGCATTTGGTGATTGGACACACTATGATCTATGTTTATTTATATTTTTGGCTTTCCATTTGTGCATCTAGTGATTAGCCACACCATGATCTATGTTTAAATTAGTTTTGTTTATTATATTATTATTATTTTAGAAATTTGTTGAATTAGTGTTAACAAAAGTTTAATTAGGGTTAATATTATTTTTGTTTGGCTTGTGATTGATAAAAGTTGGATGGATGCTCCTCGAATTAGTAAGGAATATGAAGACAGAATTAGAAAATTTTTAGACTTTGCAAGCATAACCTTCTGAATAATAATCAGGGGTTCTTTTGTCCTTCTAAGAAGTGTTGTAATTAGAGAAAATTAAGTGAAGACAACATATTTAATTTGATGGATTAATCATAATATATAAAATGGATATAGCACGGTGAAAGAGATGTGGCTAGTACATTTAGTACGGAAGGACCATTTTTGCTACAAAAATAATAAGAGTAATAAAGTGGTTTCATCAACGATAATGAAATCATTGATTTTTTTTTTTTTAAATTTACATTCGTTGTTGAGACAAATTGTTTTGAGAGTTTGTCAATGACAATTGTTACAATTCTTGCCAACAAAGGATGATAATAAGTAATTCTTTTTTGAATACTACTGGCTCTATTACATCCTACTGAAACACAAAGAACCAATAACGCCTCCACTGAAGCTTGAACTCAAAACCTTCCAAATGGAAGTCCAACTCGGGTAACCTTCCAAATGGAAGTCCAACTCGGGTACCATTAGACCACATAGATATTGTGAGGCTTAACGAAATATTCCGTTACTAAAGCTTATACTAACGGAATTTAGGTTATTTAAGGGAAGAAAATAATATAATAGAGGGTAAATAAGGAAAATCATTAAAAAAATACTAAAATCAAAATAATATGAACCATTCATTTTAAGAAACAATAGTACCGTCATTTTTTTTTTGTTCTCGTTAAGGGCCTAATATTATTAGCTCTTATTAGAATTTTGTGTGTGTGTGTGTGTGTGTGTGTATATATATATATATATATATATATATATATATATATATATATATATATATATATATATATATATATATATATATATATAGGAAAGGTTCAAGTGCGGCAGTGCGGTCAATTGTAGGCCATTAGATTAGATAAATCCAATGAATCACATTCGTAAGGGCTTCTCCGATATTTTCGCACACGTTCTCACTCTACGCGAACTGCAAGGCTAAAGTCGTCACTGGGCACCAGAAGAGGGCAAATCATAGTGTTGTGTGTTTTATGTTCGTTATTGGTGCATTATTAACCTTACTCGGGTGAATTTGTGGATTCGTGTTGCTGTCTTCCCGTGCGGTCAGTGTGACCGCACTAATAGTTATACAAATATACACTATCCATGTTAGAAAATGCACACCAAAAAAACATGCACAAATTCGGTACGCATCACCAGGACACACCATTAGGTATGAATAAAAGCACCACACAGTGTTCGGAAATACACCATTGGGGTGGTGAGTTATATGGTGTATTTTTTGGGTGTGTTGTGTGTTATTTTGGTGTATTTATGCATTTCATTGTTGTGCTTTTCCTAACACTATTAGTGTCTTTTGTTAACACTGTTGGTGTATTCTGTTAAACGACCGATATAAATGACCACTATAATTACCATAATACCCCCCACTTACTAAGACGCGCTTAAATCTTCAAATCTTCAGAAATTAACCGCTATCGTCAGATTAAGCAAAATGGACGATGCTGATATGACCGCACCGCCGCACCTAAGGACCCTGCCGCATATGAGCCTTATTATATATATATATATATATATATATATATATATATATATATATATATATATAGTATATGATTTCATAGCCTATATCAATATAGACTACTCAAATTAGGATATGAAATCATTAAGAGAAATTTATGCTCACATTGTTGGGGAAAATTAGCTAGGTTGATAATAATATGAAAATAAGGAATCATGTGCCGTGACATAACTACTATCATATAAATGAATTTGACGCTATTGATGCAGGCTCACAATAACGATATGGTCCCTAAGTTTAACACAACAATTCTCATCTCTATGCACCCAAAACACTTATTGAAACTTACACAATATACTCAAAGTAATAAAGTGACAAGAAAGAGAACATACAACCTCTTCCTAATGACTAAACTCATATATAGTTCTCCTTTAAATAATATAAGTCAAATAAATATAAGCAAATTGTAATAAATATTAAACCAAGACTAAATCAACAGAATATTTGAGAACCATAAAAATTTGGATGGCTTGCATTTTCCCAACACATTGTGCACTAAATGCCTTAGTCGATGTACTAACCAATCGCTGCCTCCATATTTTCAACGGTACAGACAAATTGCTGGCGCTGTTTTCTTTAGTTTTAACAAATATAAATAGCATAGCTGCATTGGATATTTGGATCTGATCTGGATGCTTCATAGAATTTAAAAATAGTAAAGAGTTTTAAAATTTTCATAACACCACCATTTTCTTACCCCAGAGACTGGAATTGTCCCAGACTCCGATTTGACAGAGCATATGGTGACTCAATGGAGTAGACAGGGCCAAATGCCAGTGCGCACAAAGAATTTGCCCACTTTGAACATAATTCCAACATTGCCGCCGCCGAGGTTCAAATCTTGGTCTCTTATCCCAAATACTGTCCACTAAACTATTGAGCTAAGCCGTGCGGGTAGAATTTCTCACCACCATTTTCATAACACCACCATTTTCTATGTATAGTGCCGTAGAATTTCCCTATATAAACAACATATATACATGCAAACACACATTTATTTGTATTGAATTTATTTCACTTTTGATTTTTTACTATAATGATATTTTTATTTTTGTATTTTTGATTTATTACAAGAAAAATCAAATTTGTCAATAAAAATCATAAATATTCAATTAAATCCATAGATATTTAAATTAGCAATAAATTTTGGTAGGTATTTGAGTTGTAAATATTTAATCCGTAAATATTTCAGTACGTAGTATTTCCTTATAGTAATTTTAATTTGCTCCATTTTTAGTTCTAAATTTAAACAAACATGTCACTTATTAATTAGTGACTTAGCTTTTAGTTCAAATTGTTTGAAATACCCTTAAGTTCAGTATATATATGAAGGACGGAGTTTGGTTAAATTCTTACAAATTGAAGGATTTTTAACCTAAAAGTGAAACTTTCACAGCTGGAAATCAAGGAATTTCCGATTACCTGAAAGTGATTTTAAATCAAGTCGAAAGTCCTTGTTTCGATCACTTTTAGTATATGGAAAAACCTTCATTGCTATTTCTGGCCACCGGACAAGGTGGTCGGAAATAGCATCCAATTTTGTAAAGTGATCGGAAAAATAGACTACTAGAAAGATTGACGGAAATTCTCAACTCAATTTAAAAAAAATAAAATTAAACTACTGAAATTCCGACCTATTTCTTCATCATAATCCTTTAATGAAAAATTGAAAAAATGTCATTTTTTCGACCATTTTTTTAGGTGATTGGAAAATCAAAGATTTTCAGCCGTGTTTTTTTAATTAATGATTATAAGTAAAATAAATTAAAATTTAAAATTTAAAGTAAAAATGTTAGTCTAACAAAAAAATGAAATAAACTCTATAATAATAATCTTTTGGACCACCGATATTGTCCGGAATGACCATTGTTATATTGTGAAACAAATTATATTGTGGATCATGGTCTACTATGTGCATTTTGATCCAAATAATGTATATGCAATTAATATATTATGTTCTTTCAATTAATCAATTATGTATATATAAATAAATTAAGAGTACATACTATATTAACTGCAAATACTATGGAGTACATAATTTAATTTATTCACTGAAAATACAAAATAATTGACATGATTCACAATTCACATGACTCACATTGGTGCACGATATAATGTCTGACATTGTGAGACATTTTACGCTCAAAATAAATGTTGTTCGACTTCTCGGTGTGAATTAAATGGCCAGCAATTACAAATTACAAACAGCTTTCTTCTTCTTTTTCTGTTTTTCTTTTTAAATAAAAAATATTCCCAGTTTCCTATTAAAACATTTGAGCATGAGATAAAAAGTTCAAATAGAATGCATTATAATATATAATGTTAAAAGATAAATTGAATAATTATATGCGGAGGGAATATTACGTACTCAATGGTTTATTATTAATCCAATATGCATACTTGTAATATTACATAACACTGCACATATATTATCTCAAACTAACTGTGACGACTCTCCCAAATCAGAGGTCACATGTTCGAATTTCAGCGGTGTAATGACTTTTTGTGTTCCAATCAGTTGAAAAAGTACGAACGGACAGCATTTTAAGTTTGGGTTGCAATCAAAATGCTATTAATTTTTGTTGAGCATAGTGGGGAATAGATTGGGCAAGCGAGGAGTGAGGAGAACTTGAATGGGAGTCAATTTGGGCAAGGCAATTCCCAAGCCTTCACTCATGTCCACAGGCATCCCCATTGGGGTTGAAATATTGAAGCCTTGGAGAAGACGTGCCAGCGTCAATTGCACCACTTGCAAACTAAAGTTCATCCCGGGGCACATTCGTCTCCCACCACTAAACGGGAGGTACTCGAAGCTCTTCCCGACATAACCTATGCTCGCATGTTCGTCCCTGAACCATCTTTCCGGCTTGAACTCTTCAGGTTCCGACCAGACCCGAGGATCGCGGTGTAATTTCAGCAGGTTGAGAATCAAACGCGTGCCTTTAGGAATGTGATATTTGCCTATTTTGCAGTCCTCCATGGCCTCACGTGGGCCCGATAGCGGCCCGGGTGGATATAATCGTAGGCCCTCTTTTATTATGGCTTGAAAGTACTTGAGGTTCTTGATGTCTGACTCTTCAACCAACCTATCCTTCCCCACATGCATGTCCATTTCGTCTTGGGCCATTTTTATTGCATGGGGGTTGTTTAGCAATAGAGAAGTTGTCCATATCAGTGTCTCTGCTGTGCTCTCTGATCCCGTCAATATAAGAATCTGAGAAATTAAAAGAGAATTAAAGAACGCAGCAAAATTAATTTACACCAAAATTTCTTCTACACTGTGTTGTTATTCATGTACAACTTTCATAAATGAGTTCAATCCAACTATTAGTCTTATCCCACTGGATGCAGTGTAATATAATATAAAAATTAAGCTACATTAAGGGATCAAATATATTACTTATAGCCCAAATTAAACTATATATGAATCTGTTGCCAAAATTTGATTTATTTATTATAAAATTCAGTGAATGTCAAGTAGTACGTCCGGAGAAGTTTGTACTAAAAGATTAATATTATAGTAATAGTGTTGGATAAAAAAGGGCCCACTGCATGTACCGTTTCAACCAATATGAAATATATATGATTAAATCCGGAGTAGTTAATGCTGGATGGAAGTCGAAAAAGGGCCAAATCCAACATTTGGTGATTAGGAATTGTTAAGCGGAGGTCAGTTAATGGCCAAGTTTAATTAGCATCTTTTCTTTCAAAAATGTGGTGACAGTTACCAAAGAAATAAAGTTGCGTATTGCTACTAGCTATAGTTTGAACAAGCTAAGAGCAAAAATCGTGCAGTTAATACTGATAGGTGCTAGGAGGGAGAATTGTTGGGCGGGGATTGTTATCCAGCAATTGGTGGCTACGAGGAATTGTTAGGCAAAGGTCAGGCTAGTGTCCATCAATTGATGGTTAGGGGGAATTGTTGGCGGGAGGCTGGTGTCCAACAATTTGTGGCTAAGAAGAATTGTTGGGCACATACAGGTTGTTGTCCAGCAATTGGTGGCTAAGGGACTGTTAGGTGAAGACTGGTGAAGGGTCAAATCCAGCACCCTAACTTTCTAAAATGTGATGAGTAAGGAAATAAAGTTATGCCCTGACCTCTGGAGAATGCAGTGACGATATATAAGGAAATGAAGTTGCACCTGATGTAACAGTTAATAATAAGCTAAGGTTAAATTAAGTTACTTACCAGTGTAGTTGCCTTGATAATAGTGTCTCGTTTATGACCAGAAATGACGGCATCCTCCGGAAGAGATGAGAGCATGACATCCATGAAATCAGATTGATCATCATCATCTTCCTTTCTATTCCGAATATGTTCTTGCAACCAAGTCCCAATTATTTCATCCATTTCCTTTGAAACCTCCTTCAAACCTTTGATGTAGCCTCCGATATCCATCCACTCCAAGGACGGAATTACGTCGGAGGGGACAAATACTCCGCCGAGATACAAAGCTCTGGAGACCACCTCTTTGAGATGCTTGGCGATCCTGGAAAATCTCTTCCCCACCAGCAATCTCAGGGTTATGTTCAGCGTCACATGCTCGAACCACTCGCTCAAGTTCACTTCGCCATTTTCGTGGCACATAGAGTACAAGTCCCCAATGCAATGCTCCACCTCCGAGGTTCGCACGTGCCGGAGCTTCTTGAGCCGGCTTACGGTCATGAGTTCGAGCGTCACCATTTTCCGAACGTCGCGCCAGTACCGGCCGTACGGGGCGAGCGCGAAAACCGCCTCGTTGTATCCTAGGTATTTCCCGACGGCCATACTAGGTCGGCTGGCGAATACTAGGTCGTTGGTGGTAAAGCACTCTTTTACTACCTCGCAACTGCTCACCACTATTGCCGGGTGGCTGCCGAGACGGAGCCCGAAAACGGGGCCGTATTTATCGGCCATGTGTCCGAGGGTGCGGGCCACCGGGAGCCGGCCGTGGAGAAGGTGGAGATGGCCAATGAACGGCCATGCTCCGGGGGCTTCGGGAACTCTTAAGGGTAGGAGTTTACCATTATTTTTGTTGTCACGTTTGTATTTTAGTATAATTTGGTTGTAGGTGAGTAAAATGGGTAGGATTAGGAAAATGGTTAAGAATAAAACATCCATGATATGATGTTTGTTTAGTATCTATATATTGTGGTTGTGAAGCTTGAGACTTGGATACTTTCTACTCTTCCAGGTCTTGTATTTATAGTGGACACTAATAATGCAGCCATGCATCAAGAAGTTCTTACGTCGTACATAGGATGGGGCTGGTGTGGGCCACACCTAACGTGATACACGAATTGGTAAATTTTCGCCACCATTCATTTATTTACTCTGAACAGCACAAGTCAAACTACCAGAGCAAGGAGGTTCGTCGGAGAATCTAAGATTATTTGTCACTGAAAAGCACAACTCAAATTTATTTATTTTATTCTTTTCTGGTTCTGAATCGTAACCAGAACCGTCTCTACTGTTTTGATTCGGTTGCTACACTGTTCGATTAGGTTCGAACCGAACCGTGGTCATTCATACATACAAGCAATAATTTGTTAGAGATGAGAAATAAATGAAATACTTATTTTTAAGGGTAAAAATGTCCATCTAACATAAAAGGGGGGAAACCGCCACTTTTAACATAACTGTGGGGGCAAATACGAGTACATAAATAACTCAAAAGAAAAAATGCTATAAGCATATAACTAATGGGGGAAAAGTGCCATTTTCCCAAATTTTTTAAAATTAGTCCATATATCATTAAAAATATTTTCTTAAATGACACTTAAATTGATATTTTTTTTTAAATTTTAAATAAATGTATACATGCATAAATTTAATTCATCAAATTCATTAATTTGGTAAGACACAAAACGATTCTCATTTTCTCCACGGGTTAACATAAAAATAAATGCATCTGTCTCATTCCTGCATAATTTGAAAAAGCTAATTAATAATAGTTTTCAAAAAAATCCTCAAAAAAATAATAGTTAAAAAAAAAACTGAGAAGTACGATTGCGACAGCAGCCACATAATTTGTAAAAGCTTATTAATATCTGTTAGATATATTAAATATAATATATTTAATATAATATATATTAAATATAATATAATATATCTATAATTTATATTAAATATATATTATATTGAGGAGAGAGAGAGAGAGGAATAGATAACTTTTTTTTTTTTTTTTTGAAAGTTACTGGCTCTATTACATTGTAGTATCTGTTCATATACTTTCTCAACCTACTGAAACACAAAGAACCAATAACGCCTCCACTGAGGCTCGAACTTATAATCTTCCAAATGGAAGTCCAACCCGGGTACCATTAGACCACATAGTCCTGGTGAGGAATAGATAACTTGATTGATAATAAAAGCTTGAATACAAAGACTATTTATACTAGATAAGATAACTCAAATGCTAAAATTAAGGAATTAATGCTCCATGTAAAGCTAACATCATGGCCATGTACTGCACCTATAATTACTCCCATTATTTTTAACCAACTAACTCATCTTACTTGGTTTAATATAATAATAATAATATTATTATAACATTGCCTCCTTTAAACCAAGTTGGATATATTGGTCATCCCAATATCTCCTTCTTCAATTTAAGAAATGTCTCCGTCTTCAAGTTGGATATACTGACTTGTATTTCGTTCTGTAAACCCACTTTACTCCAATTGGCTTCTTCCCAGGAGGTAAATCTGTGAACTCCCAGGTACCATTCTTTTCAATGACACGTATGTCCTCATCCATCGCCTTAAGCCAATGAGTTTCTGTAGCAGCCTCCTCAAAAGTTAAAGGATCACAATCTGCAAAGAGAGCAAATTGAATAATCTCTTCATCAGACAGGTCATTATCATGACCCAAAACATAATCTTGCAAGCGAGCTGGTAAGTGGCGCTCGCGCTGAGATCGTCGAACTGACGACTCTGGCTGTGAAGGAGACTGGACATTATCTGGAATCGGTTGCTCATCAACAATATTTTCAACAACAGGAATAACAACTAAACTTTCATCTTTAGCTAACCAATCCCAGGCACCATATTCATCAAAAGTGACATCACGACTTATAACAACCTTTTTAGTTTCAGGATTGTATAGTTTATAAGCCTTTGAAGCGTCACTATAACCAATGAATATGCATTTCTCACCTTTATCATCCAACTTCTTTCTCAATGGATCCGGCACGTGGGCATATGCCAAACACCCAAAAACCTTGAGATATTTGATAGAGGGTTTTCTCCCACCCCAAGTTTCTTCAGGTGTCTTATCACACACACTTTTAGTTGGACACCTATTCAACACATAGACAGCACAAGCAACAGCTTTTGCCCAAAAAGGCTTAGGCAGATTCTTGGATTTCAACATGCACCTCACCATATCCATGATTGACCTATTCTTCCTCTCAGCCACTCCGTTTTGTTGTGGAGTGTATCTAGCTGTCATTTGGTGCTGAATACCCTTTTCTTTCAGAAAATTATCACAAGCAATATATTCTGTACCTCTATCAGTTCTCAAGATTTTAATCTCATAACCACTTTGCTTCTCAACAAAAGCCTTAAATTGTTTGAAAACATCACATGCTTCAGACTTTTGCTTCAGAAAGTAAACCCATGTTTTCCTACTGAAATCATCAATGAAAGTAATAAAGTACTTACAACCTCCATGTGAGGGAACCTCCAACGAACACAGGTCTGAGTGAATAATCTCCAACTGTTTTGTAGCTCTCCTTGACTTGCCCACGAGAAAGGGATCTCTATGCTTCTTCCCAATCACACAAATTTCACATATACGATCAGGGACATTCACAACAGGTAAATCAGAAACAAGTTCCTTTCTCGCAAGATAGTTTAATCCAGAGAAATGAAAATGCCCAAACCGCATATGCCATAACCAATTATCATCACAAACTTCAGAATTAAAGCAATCAAGGAGAGTATGCTTAATTTTCAAAGGAAATAGTCGATTTTGGGACATATTTACCTTTGCAATCAAAACTCCTTTAGCATCTTCAATGGTACAACACCCCTGAGCAATATGTATCTTATATCCTTTTTCTGACAGCTGACCCATACTCAACAAATTTTGGTCTAGTTCAGGAACATAGAACACATCGGATATAAAATTTTGAGTACCATCCTTCAACTGAATAGAGATTTTACCTTTTCCCAAAATTGGCACCTTTGACTTATTGCCAAATGTCACTTCAGACCGGATTGATTCATCCAGTTCAGAAAACAATTCTTTCTTCCCACACATATGGTTACTACACCCAGTATCCAAGAACCATATGTTCTTATCTGCAGAAAAACTATCGCTGGCTAAAAGTAAAGTTTCAGAACTCTCACCAGACTTTTCAGCAGTGTTTTCAGCAATGTTTGCTTGATTTCCATGATTGTTGTCCTCATTATACCAACAATCTGCAATCTTGTGCCCATACTTGCCACAATTGTAGCAATGAAATGGAAATTTACCTTGTTTGGTATTACCTCCACCTTTTCCTTGGTTGGAGTTACCACGTCCTCCTCCTTGGTTGAAGTTACCACGACCTCTTCCACTAGAACCTCCTTTTCCTCTTCCACGACCTCTACCAGATCCTCCACCTCTTTGATTAGTGCCAGTCACATTAAGGGTGACTTGGCTCTTCAAAGCTTCTTCTGCTAGTGGTTCCGATTTTGACGCAATCCTGTCAATATGACTTTCTACCATACCTTTCAGCTCTGCAATTGATAAGAGCTCGGTTTTGTGTGACTCTGTTATTGAAGCCACCACATGGTCATACTTCATCGGCATAGTTCGAAGAACTTTTTCAACCACTGCACCATCTTCAATCGTATCTCCATATAGCCTCATCTTATTCACCATATCAATAAGACGAGTGAAATACGCATCTACTGTTTCTGTAGAGGTCATCTCACAATTATCGTACAACCTTCTCAACGACTGCAACTTAGACTTCTGCGCCCGATCGACTCCTTTGTGTGACACCTTTAAGATGTCCCAAGCTTGTTTTGCTGTTTGAGCACGAGCTAATTGCCCAAAAATGGAATAATGAACACCTTGGTGAATCTGACCCAAGGCCAATTTATCTCGCCGTATAGCGCCTGCATCAGCTCCTTCGGGTAGACCGGGATCAACAAAGCTCCAAAGATTTTGAGCTTGCAAATGTGTGGACATCATAATTTGCCAATAATTGTAATCGAGTTTCCCGTCCAATTTGGGACTCGTCCATACAATATTGAAATTTGTAGCCATATTTCACTACGGGAAATATCTCGGGGTTGAAAGGTTGACTGGCTCTGATACCGAATGTTAGATATATTAAATATAATATATTTAATATAATATATATTAAATATAATATAATATATCTATAATTTATATTAAATATAATATGTATATATATTATATTTATATATATTGAGGAGAGAGAGAGAGAGGAATAGATAACTTGATTGATAATAAAAGCTTGAATACAAAGACTATTTATACTAGATAAGATAACTCAAATGCTAAAATTAAGGAATTAATGCTCCATGTAAAGCTAACATCATGGCCATGTACTGCACCTATAATTACTCCCATTATTTTTAACCAACTAACTCATCTTACTTGGTTTAATATAATAATAATAATATTATTATAACATTCAGTTTTCAAAAAAAAAAAAAAAAGACTGAGAAATACGATTGCGACAACAGCCACATAATTTGTAAAAGCTTATTCATATTAGTTTTCAAAAAAAAAAAAAAAAACTGAGAAGTACGATTGCGACAACAGCCACATAAATAAGATATTTGAATCAAAATGGCATTGGTAGCTCAACTGGTTATAGAGGTGAAATTTGTCATAAGAGATCAAATGACAAGTCTCATCAGCGACATTGTGAAACAACCTCTCAAAATGAGAGGGTTACTCGTGCGCCGCAAGCAAAAGTTTAGTCTCTATTACCATGATTTATCATTTTCAAAATTTTGAGTCGTTTAGAGGACAATTTCACCTTTTTGTCACAAAATATATGAATCAAACAAGGCTGAACCAAAACAACGTTGGTCCAATAATTTTAACAGATTAAACATTAATTTGTTAAGATACAAAAATTATCCCTCTAGTGATTCACATTTCACCATGGATTAACATCACAATACGTGCATCCATCTCATCCC